AGGACACAGTGAAGCCGCAAGGCAATTTTTATACTGCTTGTCCTTAACCTTCCCTTGTGCAAGATGAGCAAAGCCCACTTGTTCCTGCTGGTGCTAGGCCACCGTGCAGCCCCCATTCCAGTAATCCGCTTGTTACCCCTGAGCTGTGACGGGAAAGAGCACAGGGATTACTGCCTGTCTTCCTTACCTTCCAGTCACAGTAAAAGATAAGGAGATTTTTCACTATGTTTCCTCCTATGCTTCCTTGCACATATGGGATGGGGCTAGGGATGACATACAGGATAGTGTTGACAGATCGTAAATATTAAAGGTCAAGATCTTTACTTGCTGACGTAGGAGTGTAGGATACGGAATAACCAGTTCAAGTTGTGACAACCCAGATTCAAGCTGGACATCAGGAAAAGCTTCCTCACTGTCATAGCAATACAAAAGTGGAACCAGCAGCCTAGAGAGGTGGTGGACCCTCCCACACTAGAGGCATCAAAAAAGAAGCTGGACAGCCACCTGAGTGGGATGTTGTGCACTGGTGTCCTGCACCAGCAGGGGCTTGGACCCAGTGACCTTCATGGCCCCTTCCAACTCTACTTTCTATGAAAGAAACAATAAGGGATGTAATCTTGTCTCATTTTATCTCAACACAACACCCTTTCTCCTTAATAGAAGTGCAATAGAAACACTGCTCAGAGCATACACGGAATATGCCTCCCCTCATAAAATCAGTTTGCTCTTCTGGATGTCAAGGAAACCATATTATCACTTTGTTTGACTATCAGGAATTTTCAAACATCTTTGCTGTTTTGTCCGCAGAGGCATATTAGGGGAAAGAACAGGGCAAAAGATGAAAAGATGCTCATGGAGTTTTCTGATCCATCATGGTATCTGTGCCACTTCCAATATGAGCAAAAGCTGCTTGAGTCATTGGGGTGTATGACACACATACAACTGCGTGTGATGCAGGTTGGGCAGGCTTAGGGAAAAGGCATCTCTTGACAAGGTTCCCACCAACAAAATCCAGTGGCTACTGTTGCAACTGCCTTCTTAGTTTTCCCAATATACACTGCTCCACAATTTTTATGCTTCCAGAGCCTTGTGAGTGCCTATCACAAAACATGGTTCTCATTGGCCATCCCCATTTTTGAATAGCAAATGCCTGAGAAAGATTGAATTGCTGCAATTTTGCATAATTGTATTTGAGGGGAAAGTTCTTGCAGCCACATCTGATGGGATGGGATTCCAAGTCCAGACATCATATAGGAAAACCAAGGGCAGGCCATTCCTGGGTTGTTTATCCCAGCAGACGTGCACAGGTACATGGGAATCAACATGCATGCTTGCTTCCATGGCATTTTCACCAGCCTTGGGTTTTTGACAATTTGTGAACTCAAAACAGTAGTGTAGTGAAGCCAGTCAACTCCTTTGTTTTCATTTCTACATCTGCTGATAAAACATTCTATCATGTCACATGCACTGGTCATCTTTGGTTTACATCAGTATATTGAGAATGCCCATAATAAGAGTGCATACAGACATACATAAATCTCAATTTGTTCTGTTTCCTGCTTTAGCATGAGCACAGATTCTGTCCAACTTCTTAAGTGATGTCCATACTCCATATCCTGAGTTCCTCTTTGCCTTTCCTCATATTTCAGGTGTCCTCTGAACCCTTTTTACAAGCACCTTTCACTATTTATCATTTTTCACATGTTATTATTTATTTAGTAAGCTATAATCAGACTGTTTTTAACTTGGGAGAACTGGTTCTGGAAGAATGCGGTTTGGACCCAGGTTAGTCACAAGGATCAGTCAGTTAGTTCAGAGCTGCAGCCCTTAAGAGGGAGGAAAACATTTCTTATAAGCTTGATCCAAAGGCAAAGCTGAGTAACTATTTGAAATGCAAGTATCTTCCTTTCTCTTTCATCTCCTGTAAATCCATTCCCACCTCCTACTGCACAAAACTGTCAGACTGATAGCACTGCCATATTCCAGCACCCCAAATCTTGGCATTCTAATCTGCATTGTATGCAAGTAACCTGCTGATTATGAAAATCATTTTGTAGGTTGGGAAAAGAATTCAGGACCACCACCCCACACTGATTTGCCACTCCAAATCATCCTTTTCAAATGTATAGGAAGAAACCTCTTTGTGCCAGATCTTCTGCTCAACATGAGCTAAATATTTGCTTTATTATATCTGGACAAGCAAATGGGTGCCATGACTAGAAATTGGGTAATACCCAGCCTGGTTTTTTTCTGCACTCTAAAGCCCAGCACATAGTTAATTCTGCTGATTGCAATACCCTGGAAGCCAGCTGCAATTATCTGAAATCCTTTTCTAAAATAAAATGTTAAAAATGAATGTGATAATGTGCTCTGTGTCTATCTTTAAATGTTTAAATCAGGAAATTATACATAGTAGAGCCTGTATACTTCCAAAACCATAAGCTCATGAAGATTTGTCATATTAGAACTGCTGCACCCAGGAGACTCACCTTGTAATACAAGCAATGTCTGCATTGATGCTTGAATTACAAGCATGTTGTTTTCTAGGAAAAGTCATAGCAGAGAATAAATCAGCCTTTTCCAGCCTGGTACCCTCCAGATGTATTGGACTGCAATTCCCAGCATTTGCTGACTAGGGAAAACTGGGTGTTATAGTCCAGTGCATCTGGAGGCACCAAACTGGGGAAACCTGGACTATACTAGAGTGTGTCTCTGTCAGTTGTTGATACTCCAGTGTAGGGGCTTTTACCATGGTGCTGATTCTCTGGCAAGACAGCCAGTGTGGCATTGTGGTTAGAGCAGTGGACTAGGACAGGGGAGACCTGCATTCAGTCCCCATTTGGCCAAGCTGCTCACTAGGTGACTCTGGGCAAGTCGGTGACTGACCTACTGCAGGACAAAATGGAGAGGTTGCTTGCAAGAAAAAAAAGGCAGAATATAAATGTAATGACAGCAACAACAACAGATTCATCACACCAAATGGATCGCATTCCTGTGTTAAGTTTAATATGTGTCATTCTCTATCAGAGCAAAACAGGAAGCTGTTTTATGCTGAATCAGACTGACCAATTTAGATCTACATTGCCTCCCTCAATTAGCAGCAGTTCTCTAAGATTTCAGACAGGGATCTTTCCAACCCCAGCCCCACCTGGAGACTCTGGGGCACATGGGACCTCCTACATGCAACACGTGTGCTCTCCTGCTGAACCGTGGCCCTTCCTGTGGCCTCTTCTCCCTTCCCATGAAACCTGCTGCAGCAAATCGTTTCTCAAAAAGTTCTCCTTTTAATATTCGTGTGCAAAGCAGGCCTTGTGACCGAATGTTCATTCATATTGCAAAGTGTATCACGGAGACATCCCGATGTGGCAAGGTTGCCTTTTTAAAGGCTGCTGTAACAAGCAATATTTCACATGTAACAGTACATTCACACTTGGTGAATACTGAGGGCAGAATAACTTGTTACATGCAGTTCTGGGTTCTTTTTTCAGGCCCTTTCCTTTCCTTAGCACAAAATAATGCAGCTGCTGAGACTGCATTTTGAAGTGTAACAGCAACGTAAAGGCGAAGAAGTTTTTTCACCCTTTCCTGTTCATACATTGTACTGAATATGAGCACTCTCCCAGCAGCTTTTACCCCAAGCAGTAAAAAAATAATGGGGCCGTTCTCAGTGGTGGGGAAAAAAGCCAAAGATTGAAAAGGCCCTCTGCCTGTTTGAGACTGCTATTCCACTGCATAAAATAGATGGCATGGTGCATAAAACAGATGAATTGTTCCAATTCTCATGAAATCATAACTGGAATTCTAAGGCTTTCCCACCTAAGCAGCCGTGCTTCCAGGTCAAAGATGGCCAGCAACGTATGACTTTGGAGTAGCTAAGCTAATGGCAGTCTAAATGGTTATGGCTCTTCTGCCTAATTAGGGGCAATCTTTTTGCTGTGGGCAAGATAGTGCCATCCACACCTCGAAGAATCTTACTCAGAATGGGGCTACAGCCTTCACTGCACCTGAAGGTAGGAGTCTAGCTTAGGAGATGCACACAGGTCTCCAACGCATTTTGCAGCTCCTGGCCCTGCAGTATTCACCATCTGAGGCAGTAATCTAAAGCCATCCAATGCCAAAGGAAGCTCAGTCAGAGCAATCATCATAAAAGGTGGGCAAACGGAAAGGGAAGATGTAAAAGGGAATGCATGAGAAAGGAGAGATGTAAGGAGGCCTGGAGGACCTCAACTGGTTATAAAGGAACATGGTGCTGGTGGCTGAGTGGAAACTATTCAACTCCATCAAAGGCATACTGGAAAATGCATACATCCAAGTTGTCAGAAAATCCACTTTGCAGAAGCAAGTTCCTGGTTCAGGTTCACACTTACAGTTCAACAGATCATTGCTATCCAGGCTGGAAGGAGGTCTGTCTGAGTCCTCAGAGAGCTGCTGCCTGGCAGAATAGATGATAGGAAACCTGATGGGCCAGTAATGTGACTCAATATATGATAACTTCATCTAAGTAGAAAAAGCAAGATTTCAGTTTGGTTGGATGACCAGTAGGGCACATTTTGAGGAACAGGGACAAATATGTTGGTGGACTGATTTTGTGCCATGATTGACGACATGCTATATACCAGACTGTCCTCCTTGACACCCCCAGGATGTTTTGTATGTTACGGATATAAGCCTCACCAAGCATGGCCAGTGGTCGAGAACTCCGAAAGCTGTTGTCCAAAACATCACCATGGCACCAGGCTGGGGAAGGTTGATATAAGCAATAGCTTTAGCCATCACAACAATGCAGAAAACAGATTTTTATTCCAAAGTGCAGCCTTGATTAAAAGAAAGAAAGGGAGGCAGGGAGGGAGGCAGGGAAGGAAGAGAGGGGAGGGGAGGGGAGGGGTCATTCTAAATATTAATTGACTAGAATCATTTCATGTTTTGTTTTTGCAGATTTTTCTTCTCCAGATCTCACTAAAAACCATAATCTGCAGAAGCTGTTACAGCTTCACAAAGCAATGGCAGTAGCATCCAATAACACTGCATTGAATATGCTCCTTTCAAAACTGCTCCAAGACTTTGCAGATCAGTCAAACCACCCCACACCCGCACGGGTTGTTGCAACAAGTGACCACCTGGAAGTAGTGTATATACTCTTATGCCTGGGCTTCTTTGGCTTCTTCACATTTGGAATTCTGATAAGCTACATCCGCTCCAAGAAGCTTGAGCATTCCAATGACCCATACAATGTGTATATTGCCACAGACATTTGGTATAAGAAGGACAAAGCAGACTTGCAAGCCAAAGTGGTGGAAAATTATAAATCAAGCTTTGTGTTGAAAAACCAGCATGCTGTTGAACAACCCATGAATCACATCCCTGAAGTGAAATCGTCATAGCACATGGGCAGTTCACTGGTCAAGTGTCGTCATGATGGATCTTTCAAAATAAAACAGCATGTGGACGGTATTGCTCAGAAGGAAAATGTACGGAAAAGCACTGGTCATTCTGCATTGCCCGCAGCACAGCTTTCCACCAATCTAGTGTGCTTTAGATGCCCTGAATTACTTACCAGTTGGGAATGGTGGGAGTTGTAGTCCAATACATCTGAAGAGGACCAGGTTGGTGAAGCCCTACTAGCATGACAAGGGCGTTTTCAGCATTTTCAGACTTTGGAAACGGCAATATGCTTTGACCAACGGTTCTGTGCTACTTCTGCTGTTTCTAACTTGAACGTCAGATTGCATCTTCTGAAGGAGAGCTCTCCAGACCAAAATCCATTTCCTCAAAAGGTACTCATCCAAAGAAAAGAAAAAAATGGTTTGAGTCTCATTCCACTGACCTATAATTAACATTAATGGGCAAACAGAGTTATAAAATTACTTAGTGATCTCATGCATGTTAGGTACCTCCATCTAACCAACTGTAAACAAGTTCCTGATTCATTAGGACTGCAGGAAGGCCAAGCCAGTTTAGTGTAATGCCAATCACATAATTTCCTTGTGTACAATATCCCATCCAAACTGGTAGATTTTTATCTACTTCAAATGGATGGAGTAGAAATGAAACAGCCATTAGCACTTCCCTAAAATGTGCAGTTAGAAAGCAGAAAAACAGAGACATCCCTACATACTCTGCTAATTCTATGAAACTTCTTAATAAAACACAGAGGTAGTGACCTCACAGAGGAAATGGAAGTATGTGTCAATGTATATGCAGAGGATTTCCTTTCTGTTCTTTATGCTCTGTTGTTTTGTTGCTTTTGTTTCTGAAAATGTTTTAGCATACAAGCTTGCATCTCTTCTAAACGTAGCTTTTTCTTCTTGGAAGTGGACCCTAAATGGATTACTCCCTAAGCTAATTCCTTGAGTATTATAGATTGTGTTGGATTCAGGGTCTGCTTCCCAAGGCTGGAAGGGTTTGTCACAAAAAAGAAGCACCCATCCAGTTTTCTGGGAAGCCCCCTTGCCTACTAGCAGACACAAAGCCCAGCTCACCACATTCAGCAGAGTCCTGATTGGTTGTGTAGCATTTTCAAGGGGCTTGAGAGACTGAAGTGGGGAAGAGCAGGCAGGGAAGCTGCTGATGCCAGCGCAGTTCCATGTGCCTAAATTTGAATCCAAGTCCTCATCTTTTCAATTCTGGCTGTCTAGGCATGGCCTAAATGTTCCATATAGCCTGAAGTGATTGATTCTGCCTAATCTTGAAAGCTAAGCAGGGTCAGGCCTGGCTGAAATCTGCATGGGTGCCTTGAGTCCTGCATTGAGCAAATGGCTGGATCTGATGGCCTGTTAGGCCCTTTCCTGCTCCATGATTCAATGTTTAATTTTGATCCTTTTATTTCTTTAATGAAATATAGTATCTCCTGGTTCTTATATTATTACCTATATTGTGTTTTCAAAATGCAATGCATTTAAGTTTAAAATTGAAACATGACTATGTTAAGTCAGCTAGATAAGTTATGTGGTCCACCTCCATTACAATCCATGAGAAATTTGCTATGAAACCCATAAAATGGACATGGGTTCAAAACTCACTTTTTAAACTTCTGCTAGATTTTTAACTTCTTAAAGACACAGCATATGATTGCTGTTCTGAAATAATATGTTTTCCCTTCAGTATAAATCATTTCTATTGAAGGTGTAATTTCTGGTTATTATATAACTTCGGTGATATTTTCAAGCCAATTATTTTTTATTTATAAAAAGATAGAACTTTTTATACAATAACCTCTATCAAAGAACAATTATTTGCTTGTTTTTAAGTTGTGGCCTGGATATATTTCATTTAAGTTGCAGCTACAAGAAAAATATCCTAGACCATTGCTGTGCCTTTAATAGCAGCTTGAGTTGCAGAAATTAGCGAATAAATCTTTTCATAATATGGAGATATACACTTCCAAATGACATGCAGAAAAACTGCTGTTGAAATTATGGAACAATAGCTAGTAAAATGCATCACCTATGTACACTACAGGGTTAGGCTGTTTTCTTTGTGATTGTAATTCTTTATAAATCTGTAAATTTTCTTTACAAAGTTTAATAAAACCGTTAAACACAAAAGTGTGGCACATTTGTTGAAAATATTACATTTGCATTGTGGTAACATCATCTTGGTTTTCTGTCCCAGGAAAGAATCGCTGGACATTCCTTGGTGGGTCTGTTCTCAGGAGGGAAGCCTGTTTGCATGGGAAAGATGCCAGGACACTGCAGGCCTCTTGTGTTGGAGGAGGGTGTGATGGGGTGAACTTGGTGGAGGGAAGCTTTTCCCAACCTAGTGCCTCTAAATGCTTTGGACTTCAATGCCCATGGGTCATAGCCTACATGGCCAATGGTCAGGAACGATGGGAGTTGTCATCTAAAATATAAGGGGGACATGAGGTTGGGGAAGGGTAGTAGATGGGTTAGTGTGCTTTAAAGTGAGTGTGCCTGCCCCTAAGTATACTTGATTATCAGAAAAGCTTTACTTCTAAATGCATCTGTGTTGACAAGCACTTCACAGAACAATCCCAAATCTCTTTACTGAGAAGTAGTGCCCAATGTGTTAATTGGGATTCATTCACAGGTAAGTGTGCATGACAGTCCAACTTATTATCACTGTAATATAATATCAGTAACCCTGCAGAGTCTTGACTACTTAGTCTCAAATAGCAAACAGGATAACAAAAGTAGTAGCAGTTTGGAGGTAAGCTATTTCATTGCAGTACGAGTTTTCTTATCTAAAACCTAGGAATGTCAGAGAAATGTCAGAGAACTCCACAGTGGACTCAGATGAATTCAGACGTCTGTGAATCCAACTCGGGATTCTACAGCAACCTGGTTTTATTTGAGTCACATGAATTCCACTCATTTATTTATTGATTTATTTATTTAAAACATTTTTATGCCGCCCCCATCGCAACAAAGCCTCGGGGCGGCTCACAACAAAAACAAAATATACCAATATAACAATTATACAATAAAAATATTAAAACCCAGTGCATCTCGGCTTAAAAGATTTAAAATCCTATAAATACCAATAAGTTAACAATTAAAATAAGTTTTAAATAAAAAGGTCTTAGCCTGGCGCCGAAATACAAATAACGACGGCACCAGGCGGACCTCTGGGGAGCGCATTCCATAGATGGGGCGCCACTGCAGAGAAAGCCCTCCTCTGGGTACTCACCCTCCTAAGATCATTCACAGAGGGCTCCCGGAGAAGGGCATCTGTTGCTGATCTCAAGGGGCGGGAGGGCATATATGGACGCAAGCATTCCTTTAGATACCCAGTACCCAAGCCGTTGAGGGCTTTATAGGTCATAACCAACACCTTGAATTGGGCCTGGACTTCAATCGGACTTTATGGACACTGTTTTAAATTTTCTGTAATTTTATGCAAATTTAGTCCTGGAAAAGCACAAAAAGTAACAAAAACACCAACTAAAATATGCATTTCCCCCATAGAATAAAGTATGAAAAGGTGCTATTTGCAAAATATGTCTATTTTGGGGGATTTGCTCATTTTCAGAAGTGCAAATGCATATGAATCCATTGATGCAAAATACAATTCCATCAATAAGTAGATGACTGAAAAAAAGGTACTTGGGAATCCTTAAAACACAAAAGCAATTGATTTTACAACCTATACATCCCTACTGAAATCATTCCTTGGACACTACATGTAAAATACACTAAATTAAACTTGGAAGTACAAGCTACACCACAGGAATATATTGTCTGGTCCCACAGAATGCTGTAATTGTACTGGCTGTAGCAGTGAATGAGCCTCCCTATTCCATGAAATATAAAGACAATCAGATAGGATAGTGAGTTAATCAAAAGTTGCTCCAGCTGAAATCACAGAAGACTTTGGTGAGCAAAATGCCTAGCCTTTTTCATCACCAATTCAAAGCACATATTCTTCTTCACACAATCACAATTTGCTAAAAGAATGGATACATTTCAAAAGTATTTGTTCCTTTACTGAGACCACAGAAGACTTTGGTAAGTGACATGCCTAGACTTTTTCATCACCCATTCAAAGCACACAATCTTCTCCACCCAGTTACAGTTCATCAAAAGAATGAAGAAATATATTTTAAAAGCATTTGTTCCTTTATTGTTAAATGGCACTCAGACAGAGCTAGTGTGAGTAAGCAGAGAAAAAGAGGCATGCTCTTTTCAACTGGCTAGAATTCACTTTAAATCTATTGACTTTTATCATGTGTTGTGTTTACTCAGGTCAAATGTACAACAGAACAGGAAACAGAATTTGATAAAGTGTGATAGCAACAATCCAAAGTAAGCAGAGTGCTTCTTGGTTGCTCATGTTTAACTGAGCAATAATCTCATGTGACATATCTAAGACATCCTGTCTGATTTCTGCATCTTATATTATTTGCCATGACATTTCTTACTGATCTCCTGATGCAGCAGTTTGTTCATTTTGTTTAACTAACTGTAGCAAAACTCCACCAAACAATGGTTGGGGTATGTAGACATCTGCATTGGAGCTTGGTACTTTATTATTATTATTATTATTATTATTATTATTATTATTATTATTATTATTTATATTTCTATACCACCCATAGCTGAAGCTCTCTGGGTGGTTCACAACATTGAAATCCCCCATCCAGATTTTTACAAGAAACTAAATATAGTTCAAACAAACAAACAAACCAATCCTACAATCAGATTCAAGCCAGCCCAAAACACTTTGGTGCCTGAGATGAAACAGCAAATGGTTTGGTGCAGAGTACCCAAGGGTGGCCAAGCTATTTCCCCAGAAATCCTTAAAAAAAAAAAAAAAAAAAACCTCTCCCTGAGAATGCAAATACAGCAGTAAATGAAACAGCTAACATTTTGTTGCTTTCAAAATGTTATGCTTTCATGACATCCAGTATTAGCTTTGTGAGGCA